AAGATAACACAAACAGTTACACACCTGAGTTGTTCTCCCTCGTACTTGGGCCTGACTGCATGGAACTCCTGAATTCCCATCGGCCCGGCTCCTCCAGACAGCCGGAAGCACAGAGACGTCGTCTCCGACAAAGTATGTTTCCGTCGATCGGTAAAAACTAGACGTAACAATGTGCCAGTAACTTTTTATGAGGCTAGGTACAGTGCTGAAGGACTAGTACTGCAGCTACTCTCTGTACAGTGCTACCTACTGGAGCTACGCCCTGTACTGTACAGTGCTATTAAACTGCTACTATCTAGCTAAGCTACTTAGAAGAAATGCACGTGTAGCATGTCTGCATACCCTATGACCGACTAGCCCTGCTCCCGACACCTGGTGTTTGGACTGTGCCGGCGGTCTGACCGCGTGGCTGAAAAGGAAGTGACGCAACGACAGAACGTTTTGTAAACACGCTCTTAGAGGGAGGGAAGAAACGTCACAAGAACAGCTGCGACAGGAAGGGTGCGTCAGGGATTGGAAACGTTAAAGGCATCCCATGCGATTTCAGGGCAGCAAAACTGGAAATATTCTGAATAGCACGTTTGAGTCAGTATTTCATACTTTAGACTTTTAAAACTGCAGAAACAAGCCCCAAGATGAGTCCGTTATTTTCTGGGTGGTACCCTAAAAATCAGCCAAGGGCCCTTCCAGTAACTTATATTTTCCTTCAGAATTTTTGCCCTGAGGGTCAATATTGGGACAATGTGGTTTCAACTCAGTATGTGGATAAATGGATAGAATATTGGCTAAAAATCGGGTTTCCAAGCCCTAGAAACTGCACTGGATGCCTTTATTTTAGATCATGAAGCCACGACCGTGCACGTAGTGGGGTGTAGCGCACGGAATAATCGGTAGATGACGCTAATGTAACGTTACTTTTAAAAAGTCATTACACTTTACTCGGTGATCCTTTGCGTCGGGTAACACTTCTTGGGTTACAAATACACATCAAATGATGGGCTACAATATGTTTAGCTATAGATACTAGTATAAGGATAGGAACACATGCGCGAAACGTGGACCACCAGACTCCTTTGCAGGCTGAATAAATAGTAGAAATAGGCCTACATAAAAAGAATGTAGCTGGCCAGGGGAGTTGGCCGGTGATTGAGGGTCCAGTTTGCCTGCACGTGCAAACTCCCCTGGGCAGCTATGTTATTTTAAACCGATTTCTACTATCTATTCAGCCTGAAAAGGAGTCTGGTGGAGACTAGACCACGATATGTGATGTCGATCACTCTACACACCTGTTGATTTTTCTCTGAACAAATATGTTTTCTTAGTGATTCTGCACTGCCAACGTACATATCGGTGTATGTTCTTTGCTCGACTGTGACGCATTGACAGGGGCTTACTGTTTGACAGAAAGCTAATGTAGCGCACTGTGTGCTATTTAACAAAAGAATAGACATGTTTGCACTCTATATACGTCATCTTAGTGCGCAGTGCGCACATATACCGGAACATAACATATCTATATAATGACGTCGACGAATCAACAAAAAGTGACAGCCCTGCATTTAATTACAAGTAGATTATTGAATGAAGACCTTTATTGTACATTTTGCCCCACTGGGCTAAAGACAGGTCACATATTGACAAAGTACATCATCAATGTTGATAATACAACGGCTATAGTACACAAGTACGTTCAACTTCCTCTCGCTTTCTGGTAATCTTATAAATGTAGTTGGCTGTATGAGTAGTTAAAGCTGGTTTGTTAAAGACTACAAGGAATATAAATTTCTCTATACTATTCAAATACTTAAATTGGGAGTATTTGCTTGACACAAAATCGAAAAGAACGTTTCTTTCGCTGTCATACATGGAACAATCCACAATAAAATGTACCTCGTCTTCTACTTTACCTAAACTACAATATTGGCAGATTCTTTGCTCTAGCGGAGTGCGGTTATGTCTTCCTGATTCAATTCGCAAATTGTGACAACTGATTCTTAGTTTAGTAATGGCAGATCTGTGACGTACATTTGCGATCTTAAGATAATCTTCTTCGTTATATGAGTGTTTTAATAATCTGTATGTTCGAAGTTTATTTTTTGAATTAGCAACTCTATTATCGTTGTGGATTTCGGAAAGGAATGTTTGGAAATGAATATCTTTTAAACGCTGATAAATTGCTGAGATAATTTGGGGCGTATTTGAGCCGATTGATTGAACGCTTTGCCAGACGAAAGAATAACCGCATTTCTCTAGACTGTTGCGTA